CTATATACAGTATACTTGTACACGACAAAAATCTGTTAAAGTTTATTTCGTTTGTGTAGTTAAAATAGCTGACAAACCTACGGATGCAAATGGTGGTAAATGTAACCCATCAACTATTAACAATCACATTATCATGTGACGCCCGTGATACCACTCATCGGTTCCTATTCTGAAGGACTAAGACGTTATGCTTGCAGGGTATGCAGAATATAACTCTGTAATTTCACTGCTTTACTTTATTTCCACCTTTCAACCGAAACACAGCTTACAAAGCAACCTACTTAACTGAAATAGATGAGACAAAGGTACTCACACAGACGACTTTTTCATAATCTATTTATTTTTCAAGATTCGAAATACCATTTTTTTTTTTTTTTTGCTAGCTGATAGTGATAAGACGAAACAGCCAGTGCTAACGGTATAAGCTGGTGGGGCCTAGTGGAGGATGATAGGATGAGCATGAAGTTAGGTCATCATCCCATCGCCTAATTTATCAAAATTTAACGACGATGGTTGACCTGATGTGACTTTCGTATATAATTGTATATACTTTTAAATAAATATTTTTTCTAATAGAAAAGCGTATTTCCGATATTAAGGAAAACGAGTTTTTAATAAACGAACGCAAAATACCAAAAAGAAATGCAAAAATTAATATAACTTTGTAGCACATAGTTAGATGATTGTTTTTTTCACTTTCTCGTTATTAAACTTTGCAATCTTAAATAGGTATAATGCAATATTAACGTGATAATTCTCACACATTAATAATTGCGTTTGTGCCACAGTTCACACGTGTTACCATACATGTCACGTTAAGATACTTTTAACCTAGTTAACGATACTACAATATAATATATCACACGCACAACAATAAATTATAATTACAGTTTTGAATAGTTACTATATAAAAAAGACGGACAGTAGTGAAAACTTCATAGACTTGTTAACAAAGAGCAAGGAATTCTTAATTACAATTAGTAAAATATTTTTCCCTTCTTTTATTTGATTCTATTAATACATTTATAAAATCTATATATAAATATGTTGGTAAAAAGTGTTAGGTACATGTATGCACATCTTAAGTGCCCGGCATATCTGGAGAAATAATCCTTTAATCATTTTGGAAATTCAATATAAAATGTTATTATATGTATATAGAGACATGTCTTTATTCATATAAAGATAAATAGTTTAAATGTATAAGGTAGTTCATTTATCTACATATTTATACTATACTTCCAAAGGAAAACCGGAACACATTAAAATAACTTGAAATTCAAAAGTTTTTTTAAGTTTTTCATATAGTACGACAGGTAAAATGGGTTAAAAATCGTGCTTTTGTATACCTGAAAGAAAGTGTTAGTCGCATAGGTACTGCAGTATGATAATACAGCGTAAATAAGCAATGACATTACAGAATAAATACTCTGTGACGCAAATGTAATTTGTTTATCAGGACTGAGAATTTCACCGATGAAACACTTTAAACAAAGTCTAAGTAGCATATATTCTCCATTTTAAAAAATATGTCACATTCAAATTTCTTTACTAAATTGTAAATAGATCTTTATTTATATACAAAGACAGTTATTGATCGCTCACCTTACATAGCAAGCCAAACTTTCACACAAAAACTATTGAACGGATTTTAATGAAACTTTACGTTAATATACAGCTTTAAATACATCAGAATAACACAGAAAAAAAAATAAAGTTATTATGTAAATTGTGCGAGTTATAACGATAAATGTCAAGTAAGTGTGATGAAGAAGTTGTTTGGTTTGGTTTGGTTTATTTCTTAGTTAGCTTTTTATGAGATCAGTTATATATCACGATAGATCCAACTTTGTTATATTTATAAGATAGGATATAGATAATAAGAATGTCAATTTATTTGTAGATACTAGATAGATTAATGTCAAACTAGTGCATCATATAAACTTTCATTCGTCCAAGTTAGCTGAAATATATTTATTAATACTCATATAAACAACATTGTATATTATTTATCTTTGTTAATATAATACCTTAGATCGTTTATAATCATAAAAAAATTATCGATTCAAGTAAGCTCCTTATCTCTCTCTTATCTCTTTGTAACGTATGTGATAATATCAAGGTTTAACGGATAGCGACGCTAACGACATAGCGGCCGTTAAACTTACATAATTGCGTGATTACATCTGATAAGCGTTATCAATTTGATACGTTATACTTGAGTAGTGATATGAAGAACAAATAATTGAAAAATATCTAAAAACATTTCGTTCGGTCGTGTTAATGATTTATTACGAACATGTTATACGTTATTTGTATTTGTATGCTTATTTTAGAAAATAGCCTAAGTCTAACTTCGAGACACAATTTATCTGTCGTTTCAGGCAGAGTTGAAAATGTAACTCACAGACCAATAGAAACAAATTCGCTTTATAATTTTACTATGTACTTGTATCTTTTAGGGATGATAATGGATTGGTACACTCGCCTCCATTAGTGGCATATGCTTGTGAGGCAGCTGTGGAGAATGATAAGATGAGTATGGCCAGTCAGCCCATCTCGGCAAACTCTCTACTTTACTAAATAATTTAGTAAAATTCTATCCAAAACAATTCAATTACTGTAATAAGACTCACGCAATCTAGAACATATATATACCTAAATACTGATTAAATATACTTAAACCACTTATACTTTTGAATTCAACAAAAACCCATTATCTCTGTAAATGCTCTAATATTATAGGAGAATCGTTTCTTTATATTCATCCCTTCTATTCTAATGCCTTTGTGCTGATGATAAGCAGAGTATCTAATCAATAATATTTTGAAGACGAAATTTTAAAAAAGTACCTTATCATGTTTGTTACGCCTTCTACAATTGATAACATTATCACTATCCAGTGATAACGTCGTTAATCTAACATGACGGCGACGTAAAATACCTAATAACGGTAAATAACGCTATATAATTTTATATTCAGACAGTTTTATTTGCATTATTATGTTAATAAAATGTTATAATTCGATTTATTATACCTACAAAGTCGCTACCTCCTATATTTTGTAGTTTTTTGGGTAGTAGAGAGCAGTGCAGTCACTGGGCGCAGTAAGACAATTAACATGTCACCTTTTTATATATTATTGTATGTATAATAAGTTGTAGTAGGTAATACACAAATTTGTAATTTTTTATTAATGATATTTGGGGGATTATAACTTTAAAATAGTTTGATATTTAATATGCAACAAGCATTTATCATTAGAAGATTCAAGTCCACAGTATTAGCTGATAGCGATAATTCCTTTATCGATATAAAAATAATTTATATCGAATGGAATAATTAGAGATTCCCGAGATACAGTCTTTTTATTAGAATAATTAAAAAATAATATATCACTTTTCCTCTCTCTCATTTCTCATTACTTTTCTTGATATGACTTTATAAATTCCATGTAGTCCCATAGGTATTAAACTGTTTACCTTTATTTCTTATATATTCCTTATTGCACATTTAAACTTAATTATATACAACGTGAGCAATGTGTGATGAACAATCTTCTCCTTATATTAATAATAGTTACTTCGGGAGGAAGAATGATTGATAGTAATGTGAACTGATGATGACCTTATTGGTAGCAAAGTACCATGTCAGGTTGACCTCCACGTGGTTCCCTGGAAATCACTGGAAACCACCGTGATTATTCCCTGGTGGATTTGTGATGATGGGCGAACTAACCTGACCTCATGTTCATTTTATCATCCTCCATTTGTGCCCCGCCAGTATAAACCGATAGCGCAATATAACTAAAAATAGCGGGGAAATATATCATAATCATCAATTTAAAAAAATAGTTACTTCGATATATAGGTACGTATACTTTCATTCTTAGTTCAGTTAATGAAAACCTTTACTTTTAACATTTTATGAAAAAATATTTAGTGATTACTGATGATTGTGTTATTGCATATAAGCGTCAGTCGCAATTTTTCATAGAATTTGTAAAAGTTTTAATGCGTGTTGTTCTTAATTGACTACCATCACAAGTACCTACTACTATATTGATTACTATTGGTTCATAGATATTTTTTCCCAGAATATGAGATTACACAAGAATTCAGGATTCATTTTACGCCATTTCTCTTTTTGCTACTTCAGTTTCATTGTATCTTAATAAGAATCTCCTATAGTAATAGAATACTTTGTCATAATTAAGTACTTATAATTAATTATACATAAATTTATCTTATTATTCTCAAAAATGTCAGGCATAATTTGTTACTGATTATATTTATCATTGAAAATTATGTACCCGTTACGACAAACGGACAGAAAAATACATATATTTTTATCGTTACTTTATATTTATATCTACATAGATCTAGAGATTATAGATAGGTAATATAACGAATCGTTAGTCTATGGCAGCTTATACAGAATTATTGTACATATTTAGGTATTTCTGTGATAAGTATCTGTAATATATTATATCAATTAAAACATTTGATAACAATTTCAATGTCAGTATTTAAATGCTATGCTTTTATAATGAAGCTCCATAGTAATAACAGCAAATTAAATTTTGAAAATGCGAAACATGTAGCACCTTCTTCAAACAAAAATGTATAGATATATGTCTTCTGGTCAGACAAAAATAAAGCCTAAACTTTATTTCTATGTTTGAAAACATTAGTACAAAATTCGAGAGCAACTATCGTCACAATAGTTTCAGAATTTATCAAAACCACATAAGGCTTAAACAAATATATTAAAATTACAAATATAAAAATGTATTAAATCACAGAACAAAATTTTTATTGAGTTGGTGTATAATTCGATTATTATAAGTATACCGCTATCTAGTAGTAAGTAGCATAATAAGAAAGTATACTAATTCCCACTCATTAGAACTGAACTACGTGATAGTACCGACTGCTCGTCAACAGATGGCACTGTTTATTACTATTCAATCCATTTGACAATACCGGATAATATAAAAGTATTAATTTTCACATAATTATATTTTTCATGAATTGCTGACATCATTAATATTAGGTAAAATAACAATTATCCACTATATCAACATAAAAATATAAAAAAATTATTGCGCATGACACTAAAATGAAGGTCAATGCGCATAGTCAAAACATTGCGCATTTCGGGCCCCGATAGTAACCTGCCCAGAGTTGATCGACCAGCGACAGTACTGTCAGTGCCACCCATTTCTTAAGTTTCTCACAAATTGTGCTACAATTTAGTGCCTGGTTGGTGTGCAAAGCGATTCCGATCGCTCATTGTTTTATTTAGGTGCTATAGAAAATAACAAATAACAGGTAAGTTAGCTCTTAGCTATATATTAAATGTTATCGGAATTTATCTGATTTTATCACATAGTATACGATTGTTTAATTGAATTTTAATTTATGTTAGTATTATTTTACGCATGGACTCAATAAAAAAAAAGTTTATTTTACACATTGTCCATAATTTCAATGCAATTGTGTCGAATTTTGAATTGTTCAAATTATGAAAGTATTTTAAGTGATGTCATGCCCGGATATTTCTGACGTGTTTTCTTAATCTTACCATTATAATCCATACAGTACGAAATAGAACGTTATCGAATGCTAGGTGCACTATAAACTAATATATATACAGTAAAACTTGTTCCAATTGTATACTGAATATTCGCACATGAATGTATAAAATTTATAATAATTTTTGACATATTATTACAGATAAGTTAAATATATATAAATCAAAAATGTACACAATAATTTTACATAAGGAGGCATTCCTTAGAATTCATTAAAATGCTACTTAGATATCAGTTCTACAGATTGTAACCCTGGTTATATATGACCTTCAGTATTATATTTTTACTTTTAAGTTACTTACATAGACATAATTTATTTCTGTTATTAATAATAATTGTTACTCTTATTGATAAGCATAAATTCAAAGTCATGTGGAAACCGATGTGGTTAATTCTTATGAATTTGTTACAATGGGCTAACTGACCTGACGTAATGATCATCCTTTCAATTTCCACTGGTGCCCCACCAGCATATGCCATTAGTGTAGGATTATCATCTATTAAAATAAACTTGTTACATTATTATTTATGCAAGAAAAACAACTTCAATCCTCGAAGGACTATTGATGTTGTAAATGCACCAATTGATATGTTCACATTTTGCTGAGAATATCTAAATGACAGAGGGTGACCTTTCACTATCTCTGAGAGTAATTTTAATAGAAGACTGCATTAAAAATTATACTTCTTTACAAAGTTTTATATGTATTCATGGTAACATGGCTGGTATAATAATTTCTATATGTTATACATTTAACACAATATGGAAGATGTTAATATTAGGAAGATGTCAATATGAGGGAATAATAATATTTATACATTATTATAATACTATTAATAATTGTTTAAAAAAAAAGAAATATTCTTTATTTCAATAATCTTTATTTAGAGCACCTTTGAATAGTCCTTTGTATATATATATTATTCTACTAGTTGTTCAGAATGTAGTATTGGCTAAGAAAAATAAAAATCATGTCAAAATCAAATGCCTGTTGCTGTTTTAAATGAATGTTGTACAACTTTACATTTAAGAAAGAAGAAAGACACAATATGTGTAATATAAACATACTGAATAGAATGCTTTGTTCAAATCAATACTAATATTACAAAGAGGTAAATTATGTGTGTTTGGATGTTGGGGGTGATCTCTATCTAATTTATCCCATTTGTATAATTCTTTTAGTGTTGGATAACTTGTTCATCAGTGAAGACTATAGGCTATACAACAGGACATTTTGCATTTTAAATTTTACTTTTGCAAAATATAGTCTAGTTAAGCTGTTCGAAATAGATACAACATATAATAGTGGTTTTTTAATTATTAAACCAATTTATTTCATACTAGCTGATTAACCTAACCGATAACTTTCGAGCACATTTACACACACATTACATTACACATTTACCCATTTTTGCATTATTGCAAAAATGGGTAAATGTGTAATGTAATGTAAAAACCACTATTATATGTTGTATCTATTTCGAACAGCTTAACTAGACTATATTTTGCAAAAGTAAAATTTAACTTAGATATGATTAACAAAATGTGCATAGGTATGTCAAGTGGTAGTTATATCTAGTCTCGGTCTACCTACTGAGATGGGAAGGAGTTGTGATAATATATCAAGTTTTCTTTCGACTTCCATTTCTCTCCTTTCGAATAGAAACAAATCATAAAATCGATACAGAAACAGGAATTCAGCGAAGACATCGCGTAGTAAACACAAAAATATAGAAATTACATACAAGGAAATAAAAAACCTACCCCTTTTTGAAAATAATTTGAGGATAAACTGCGAATAGGGTACCGGACTTTACCAAACAAATTATGTACTTCTTTTTCTTTACATACAACGGTAATCATACTATGGTTAGGATTTCCAGTACTTGGTGTTTATGAAGAATTTTCCAAAGATTATGCTACTTAGAAATATAATTCTAATTTTCCTCTAGTATCTACATATGAGCCCTTATTAAATGTAATTATATTGGTAATAAAAGAAAACTATTTGGAAATTAACATTTCACGCATTTGGCCCCTTGCATAGACAGTAAAAGTATTTTTTCCTATTTTTCCTTTCTATTATGATTGGACCAATTGTAGAAAAACGAACGTACAAACTCAAGGACAATCGTAAGGATTCTCTTTGGTCTTTCTGGATTGGAATACTTAAAACATGATACAAGTGTGAAGAAGGAAGTATATACATACATGTAAATAAGTGAGATTTGACACACGGGTTAACTTTATTATCTCGGGCAATATGACTTATATTGCTTGTTATTTCTTATGCGAAGACTCAACTTACACATATTAACATATTTCGAAACACAAAGGCTTTTATCCTAAGTTACATTACTATTTCCCGTTGCTTCGTCTGCTTTAGTTAAATATAGCCTATTTATGTCCTTATGAGGCAGAAGGTCATAGGGTATCTAAATATATATAACTCAAAGGTGACTGACTGACATAGTGATCTATCAACGCACAGCCCAAACCACTGGACAGATCGAGCTAAAATTTGGCATGCAGGTAGATGTTATGACGTAGGCATTCGCTAAGAAAGAATTTTGATTAATTCAACCCCCGAGGGTATAAAATAGGGGATGAAAGTTTGTATGAAACTTTGTCAATTTTAAACCGATCGGGCTGAGACTTTGCATGTATAAAGCTAATATGACGTTGGCATCCCCTAGGCCCTAATTTTTTACACACGCTAAACAAAAACTATACCTAATTAAAAATAATACTTCTTAACACGAGCGAAGCCGCGGGCAAAAGCTAGTATAGTATATAGGGTATATATATTTTTTATACTACTATGGTGGCAAACAAGCATAAGGTATATCGATAGTAATCTATATTGACGTCTTTCTTTAAGATGCGTGCTGTTCACCCAAGTAGTCATGAAAGCAATGAACATACAGTTCCACATTAATGATATTAGTATGGATTATAATTATACTGTCAATTATATGTCAAAAATATAGAAAGAAACAAGGTAAAAACAGCATAAATTATATTAACAACATTATTCCCTTTGGTATGCACTTCACTGGCAGCGACGTAAGTTATGACGTCAACTGTACGTACGTAACATGATATAAACACAAAACCTAATAGATATGTTGTTTCTATTTTTTTAATTGGATAATGGTGCTCCCGCGTACGCAGTCATATAATGACATACATATATTCTGAGTATGATATTATGAAATTGAAGTTAACAAGAGGTACCGTAAAACGTCTTCGTGGGACACAGGGACCTGAGTGTCGCCTATTTCACCCGCCAAGCAGCTTTGTAAGCTGTGTTTCAATCGGTTAAACGCGCGCAAATTTAAGAAAGTATATAAAAAAAAACTATGTCCGAAACACAGTTTACAAAGCAAACTTTGATTATGCAGTGAATTTACAAGATGAGATACATGACATCTTAGTCCTCTGAAAAGGTAGTAAGTGTAACGCATAAATGGAAAGCATGAGATCATGTGTGTCAGGTTTTCAACCTGATATTCGTACTACTGTTTATGTACATATGAGACGATTATTACTTACTGTAAGTGGTCCGTTAGCTTGTTAATCATTCTAGTCCCATTTGCTGGGTGGACAAGTAAATTCGTAAGTAAAATAAACACAATGGTTTTTAGGAAGGACCATGCAGAGGGATCCTTGACGTGCATTTTCTAGCAGTGGTGTTACTAATCCTAACTACTAATAATCCCAGTTGAATCAATTTGTTCTTTTATGGTGTACCAAATTTGTATATAAATGGAATTTTTAACTGAAAGTTTTAATTACTGCATGCATTCTCTAATTTAACTTGTATCCCTCAGGTCTACTGCAATATAACGAATGCTATACATTTTTTATTGCGAACTAGATTTGATTCGCACTGTCCAATGATAACCTAATCTGAATTGTTTAGCTTTTAATGTGACACAGTATAGGAATACTGCAAAGTTTTTTTTTGGTCGCAATTTTGAAATGCATTCTTGTGGTGTGTTGTCTCTTTAAAATAGCTATTGAAATTCTACCCCCATATTGCATGGTTTATAGACAACAGCATCAACTTATAAAGTATCTAATAATTGGCAAGCCTATGCTAAACTATTAGTGAAGTGATAGTAAATATTAGACAAAGGTTTAAGTCCCTGTTGTCTCAGTCTGACTGCAACTGACTAAAATATACAACTAGCCTATTCGGTATACAATGTTTTAGCCAACCCTTCGCTTTATATAGTTTAAAAAAAAGTCGCCACCGTTGTCTGTTCGCTTATATCTTTTTAATTAAGCAACGGATTTTAATGCTGTTTTCAGGAATATATATAGAGTGATTCAAGTTCAATTCAGTATAGAGTATTCACTAGATGACTCCGCGTAAAATTTAAATTTATTCTTCTAAAATAAAAGTATCCTAAGTTACTCCTTATTACATTAGCTACCTGCCAAAAAAGTCCCGTTAAAATCGTCCAGCCATTTCAGAGATTAGCTGGAACAAACAGAGACAGACAAAAATTGTAAAAAATGTTATTGCAATATAACAAATAGACACTACAATTTTATTTATATGTATAGATAATTAATACATGCTTCTTATAGTAGGTATAGAACAAGCCGAGAAATTCAAAGATTTGTACGAAGCCGGGACGGGTCGCTAGACCATAAAAAATAGTAATCATTTTATTGGTTATCAAACTGAACCATGTTTCCAAACATTGAGTACATTTATTTATTCT